TGTGTGTGTATGGGGGGCAGTATGGGGGGTAGTATGTGTGTATGGGGGGGCAGCATGGGGGCTATGCGTGTGTGTGTGTGTGTGTGTGTGTGTGTGTGTGATCAGGGTAGGGTGGCTTTTTTTTTTTATAGTATAATATTTTTTTATTTAATTAAAATAAATATTATCCTATGTCCCCCCTCCCTTCTTACCTTTACTGGGGAGGAGGGGGGACATATTTCGATCCCTGGTGGTCCCAGTGGGGATTCATTGGTGGTCAGGTGGTCAGAGTGAACTCTAGCCCGCGCTCCCGGGCTAGAGTTCACTCTCGCGAGATTTGGAGCGTTGCTGTGGTAACCGCGGCAACGCTTCAAATCTCACGAGAGGAGGACCCGGAGGAGCTGCAGCCTTAGCTCCCGGGTCCTCCCTCTCCCTCCGCCGCCAGCTGTCAGCACAGTGCCTGCGGACCAGGGAGGGAGATCTGAGATCTCCCCTCCGGTCCGCAGGCACATTGCAGGGCTAGCACCTGCATGTGCTGCTGGCAGGGGAGGGAGAGGGAGACCGGTGGATTTCTCGGGGGGGGCAATTGCCCCGTTGCCCCCCCCTGGATCCGCCAGTGTGTCAGAGGGGGGCGGGGTCCGGCTCCGCCCAGCGGAGTGCCGAACCCAGAAGTGTTACCCCATGACAGATGATAGCAATCCGTCCAGGCCCTGACGCAGCAAAGCAGCCCAAACCATTATGCCACCACCACCATACTTCCATGCTGTGCCTTTTTTTCACTACACATAGTGTTGTGTGTTTCTTCCAAACAACTCAACTTTGGTTTCATCTGTCTACAGAATATTTTGCCAGTACTGCTGTGGAACATCCAGGTGCTCTTATGCAAACTGTAAGCGTGCAGCAATGTTTTATTCGGACAGCAGTGGCTTCCTCTGTGGTATCCTCCCATGAAATCCCTTCTTGTTTAGTGTTTTACGTATTGTAGATTCGCTAACAGGGATGTTAGCATTTGCCAGTGACTTTTGCAAGTTTTTAGCTGACACTCATAGAGGATATACCTCATTGAGCAGTCTGCGCTGTGCTCTTGCAGTCATCTTTACAGGACGGCCACTCCTAGGGAGAGTAGCAGCAGTGCTGAACTTTCTCCATTCATAGACAATTTGTCTTACCATGGACTGATGAACAGCAAGGCTTTTTGAGATACTTTTATAACCCTTTCCAGCTTCATGCAAGTCAACAATTCTTAATCGTAGGTCTTCTGAGAGCTCTTTTGTGTGAGGCATCATTCACATCAGGCAATGCTTCTTGTGAAAAGCAAACCCAGAACTGGTGTGTGTTTTTTATAGGGCAGGGCAGCTATAACCAACACCTCCAATCTCATCTCATTGATTGGACTCCAGTTGGCTGACATCTCACTCCAATTAGCTCTTGGAGATGTCATTAGTCTAGGGGTTCACATACTTTTTCCACCTGCACTGTGAATGTTTACATGGTGTGTTCAATAAAAACATGGCAACATTTCATTCTTTGTGTGTTATTAGTTTAAGCAGACTGTGATTGTCTATTGTTGTGACTTAGATGATGATCAGATCACATTTTATGACCAATTTGTGCAGAAATCCATATCATTCCAAAGGGTTCACATACTTTTTCTTGCAACTGTATGTATTGTAGCAAGGAAATAGTTGGTAATCCAAATACATCTTCAGATTGTTAATTTCCAGGAAATAGATGTATAACAACATGTTTGTCTCCCTCCCTCTCTCTCTCTCTCTCTCTCTTTCTCTGTAAACCCCCTCCCTTGCAAACAATCACCTTCCAGACAACTCTCATACTGAGTATCACATCTATGACTTTAGGAGAATTTGATTTATTTACAGATTCTGAATTAGATATCTGAAGATGTCCATACATAATGCGTGCAAGCATCCTTGATTTTCATGATCTTCTCAGGAATATGTTGAAACCAATGTCTCAGGCTAAAAGGCCAATACCCATGTTGTACTGCTTGTTAAGTTGCCTACATTTTTTTCCCTGTTGTAAAGGTTCAAAAGGAATAACAGCTTACAAAGAGTAGAGCCAGTTTAAGTATAATAAATGCTTGTATTGTGTTTTTAAGTATAAACCCATTGTACAGCGCTACGGAATTTGATGGCGCTATATAAATAATAAAATAATAATAATAATAATATAACTGTCTTATTATTACATATGTTAGAAAGGTATCTTTTTTTTTTTTTACATGTAAGATCATAAAGTACCATACTTAACCAAAAAAATGCTGCTCAGGCATACACACAGAAAGTAGTAAAGTTATAAGTCAAAACCTGAATGTATACCTTATGTATATGTTGGAAATATGGGTTTTCCAATTGTCAATACAACTTAATCTGGGGGTTAAATCTAGAAATCCTTCTTATTCAGGCAGTAAGCAGAATCTCACTCTTTCATAAAAATTGATGGTTTATCACTGTGTGGCAGCAAGAGAGAGACATGAGTCTTTTAGATGGAATAATGGTTCAACCAGAATGTAACAAGGGTGGCAGAGATTGTCCATATAGAAGCAGTGATGTGGATGTAACCCAGTTGTGTAGGAGAGACTAATAGAGGTGCTTATAAAAGGGTGCTTACTACGGATAGCCAAATGATTAACATTTTGCATAAATTTAATGTATCATTCCAGAACCATATGAGCTGGGATGTGCAAAAGTTATATACCCAGATGTTTTAGAACTGCAACTTCCACGATGCTTTGCCATTCTAAAGACTTGCAA